AAAATGCACCTCTCGTGACGAGGCAAAGGAGTTGCAAAATGGTTGCATATTCAGTGTAATTTGCTATGTGTTAGGCAACCAAAAGAGGTGCGGATGCGACCACAGCAGAAAAGCYAATACGGTTGCACAGTAGAAATCCTACCAGAATTTATGTAGGACATGTAAGTACGGTGGTAAATGAAGTGGGATCAATTGGGGTATTATAACCTACGTAGGAATGTACGTATTTTAAGTACCGATAGACTCCTTCGACCGTTTTGCAACATCGGTTGCAAAAATTTGGTACTCGTAACGTAGTGAGACTACGACTATCACATCGCGACTTTTTCAACATTCGTTATGTTTGTACTTATTGTGATTGTTAAATAGAAAATTTCGTGCCTGATAAATCTATCCCAAACAAGATGGGAGAAAGAGGAATAGGGGGAAGCTTAAGATCACCTTAATTAAGACTGACAATTACCCCTACAGCCATGTAACAGATGAAAAAAACATGTGTGCAGTTCTGTATTGATCAAAGCGCATATAACCCCGTGGAGCGAATGGCATCCAGCCATTTTCTGCAGTGTATTATTCTCCCTGGCAACACGTTGAACTAAAGGATAGCTCTGGGGTCAGTTATGGTACAATAACGAAGTAGAAGTAGTAGATATTGCTTTGTTACGTATGCAACATGCGTTATTTTCCACATAACAAAACGGGCCCATCGAGTGACGCACGCGGTACCAAACGAACGGTATGGAAGCAACCAATGAAGTAACATTCAATTCGTCGATGCAAACCCATAGTGTCAACAGAGCAATCCCAAACAAACGGCACCACAGGGAAGCAACCACTGAAGTAACGTGCAAGATGACGATTTTTTCTCAATAGCCCCCTTTCTACCACATGAGTACGAGAATGATATCATGCTCACAAGCAGGCAGGGGTCACAATCTTAAGTAAAAAGCAAAAATCGTGACCCCTGCATACGGTACCCATCATCCCCTGCGTGCAACATTGATCCATTCCTGATTCCTGCACACATAGTAAATTAATATAAATTGCTGGGCCAGCAGGCGCAGTTTTTTGCATTAAATTTTGTCATAAATCATGGTTTTACTAGTGGAGGAGCGGGAGGTAGTAGTACATGGAGGAGGAGGAGGAGTACTACTACGTCACACAAACCTGTACTATGGTTTTTTTTTTTTTCTGGGGTACATGAAATAAAATTCGCGCGTGTATTTTGTGATGCCCGCACGCAATTATCTGGCCGTTTTCCTTGGAACATGTTCTCGAACCACTCATTTCTCATGTGGAGTTYGATGCCCTTTCTCATGCTCAAAATTAATTCTTTTTCATAGAAAATATTATCGTATTTGGAGACGAATTGCTCATCCATTTCAAAAGTATCTCCACCATTCAAATAATACCATGTGTCGTWACRAAAATATTCTTGCCACTTCATCAATTCCTCAGATTGGTTTCAAACTCCTACTTCCTTCTGCCAAC